GAAGTAGCAAGAGGCCAATTCAAGTTTGACATCAAGAAGAACTTCCAAACAACTAGACCTGTCCAAAAGCAGAGGGGCTTGTCTCAGGAGGCATGGGTTCCCGTCTTTGGAGGTTTTCAGTCCGAGATTGGATGGCTACCTGTCACTTATGTCACAGTGAGGCCTCCCTTCACATAGGGGTTGGACTAGAGGACCCCTGAGGTCCCTTCCAGATCTCAAATTGTGTGATTCTGTAATCAGAAGCTTTCTACTAATCAGAGCTATCCAAATGGGCTGCTTTGGAAGTAATCATGATAATAATAAGCAGTCTATAAGGCACTTTACATATATTATCTCATTCAGTCCTTAGCACAATCCCATAAACTAGGCAACATAAGTATTAATATCTCCATTTTATAGATGAGGAAACAGAGTTTCAGAGGGTTTCAAAGGCCCATGAGCACAAGCTAGCAAGGTGGGATACTAACCAACTCAAAGTCCAGTGCTATTTCATCTACACAACTATGTCTCTTTAATGGATTTCCCCTTCACTGGAGGTTTACAAGCAGAGGGCAGGTGACCACTCGTGGGTGGGGTTCCATAAAGAGAACTCTTGCTCAGATACTGGTTAGATGAAATGCTCTCTAAGGTTCCTTCCAATTCTGAGATTCTGCAATCCTTAGAAGGGTAGGAAACTAGTGAGGCCCCTGGCAGATAAAGCAATAAGACGGGGGTGGCCTGAAGTCCCCTAGTCTTCCCCTCTTTCCTTTATTCCTTTCTCCTCTCCTCAGCCTCACTGGTTCCCTTGAGACTTTGAACTTGGAGGAGAAGCCAGACTTGTCTCCATGGATACCAGCTGAGCAAAGTTTCTCTGCCTCCAAGACTGAGAGAGGAGGGGCTAAGTCCAAGGGTGGGGGCAAAAGGAGGGGTGCCAGCTCCTCTTCCTAGATCCAGGCCCCCTTCTGAAGGGACACTGGTCCCTCTCTGGTCCTCAGATTCAGGGGATGCCAAGAGGTGGCTTACTTGCAAGGAGCAGAGACCCAGAGCAGGAGCAAAGAGACTGGGGGTCTAAGACCAGCCCTTCACCCCAATGTGCTCTGCAACCTTGGATAAATCTCTTCCCCTCTCTAGGCCTCAGTTTCCTCATTTGTAAAATTAGGGGGTTGAATTAGATGATCCCTAAGATCTCTTCCAGCTCTGACATTCTAGGACTCTATGACTGAGGGAGAGTATTCCACCTCTATCTCCATCTTCCCTTGGTTAGTCCTCAACTCCCAGACTCTGGGGAGGGGGGGTGTCCTACAGCTGGGTGACCAGCTGGGTGCTGGGCCCTGGGCTGGGCTGGGCCATCTTGAAAGGGAGATAGGGATATATAACATTGATGGTGTATGTAGTCTGGAAGGAAGGCTAGGTTTGACCCAGGTACACAAAATGATAATAATGGACAGGATGCCCTAGGAAAGGGGCAGACAACAGGCTGGGGCAGAAGAAGAGAGAGACAGAAAGAGACAGAGAGAGAGACAGACAGACAGTCAGAGACAGACAGAGATGAGACAGAGAGACACACACACACACAGAAACAAAGGCAGAGAGAGAGAAGACAGAGAGAGAGAGAGAGATGGGAGAGAGACAGAGACAGAGAGAGAGACAGAGATAGAGACAGAGAGAGACAGTGACAGAGAGAGACAGAGAGAGGAGAGAAAGAGATGAAGATAGAGGCAGAGACAGAGAGAGATCTCTGGGAAGGGTAGGAGAAGGGTAAATCAAGGCTTCCTGGAAGAAGTAGCACCTAAGCTTTTCTTAGAAGGCTTATACAGATTTCAACAGAATGAGATGGAAATGTTATGGGGAAGGTATGTTAGAACCTCTTCTGGCCCCTAGTAGCTGCATGATGGCCCATTACATAGAAGGAAGAGACCCCAAAACAGAAAATGATTAACAAAGAGCCCTAAGTGGATGTTTTCCTATTTATTGCACCTTTTGTTTCCAGGTGCTGACCCAGCAGCGGAGAGAATGCTGGGCCTGGAATCAGGAAGACCTGAGTTCAAATTTGACCTCAGACACTTAATAGCTGTGTGACTTTGGGCAAATCACTTACCCTCTGTTTGACTCAGTTTCCTCAATGGTAAAGTGGGAATAATAATAGCAGTTATCTCTCAGAGTTGTTGTGAGGATCAAATGAGATAATAGTAAAAAGTCTTTAGTACAGCACCTGGCACACAGAAAGCACCCCACGGAGGGAGTCATGCAAGCTACTCGAGCAGGGCAAAGTGTAACTAGCACTGGATTATGGAAAGATGTCTCTGGTGGTTTGTGCAGGAAGAATGGGAAGAAAAAATTGGGTGTTCTGAAGTACTCCAACAGTCAACAGATAGGATGTGGAACCCTGGGAGAAGAGAAGAGGAGCCAGGGAAAGGAGGTGGTGAGAGAAGGAAGGAACGAAAAGAAGATAGGAAGAAGAGGAAGAAAGAAAAGAAGGGGAGAAGACAGGGTTAAAATAAGAAAGGAGTGATAGGGTGATAATGGAAGAGGGGAGAGAAGTGGAAGAGAGAACAAAGAAGAGGGGATGGGGAAGAGTGAAAGGAGAGTAGAGAAGAGAGTTGAGAGGAGAGGAGAAAAGGAAGAAGAGTGGGATAGAGGAGGGAGAAAGGAAAAGGGGGAGAGAAGAAATAAGAAGAAAGGGGAAGGAGGAAAGGGGAGATGGGAGAGGAAAAGGGGAAAGACGAAAAAGGGAAAAGAGATATGAGAAAGGGGAGAGAGATGATAGGAATGGGAAAAAGAAGGGAGAAAAAGGGGGGGAGAGAAGGGAAAGGAGAGGGAAAGAAGAGAGGAGGAAAGAGGAACTGAGTGGAATGGAAGGGAGTGAGAAGAAGGGGAAAGGAGAGGGTGAGAATGAGAGTGAGGGAGAAGAGGTAATAGGAGGTGGGGAGAGAGGAAAGGGGCAGAGGGAGAGGACAGAAAGTAAAAGAGGAGAGAAAAGAGAACAGAAGTGAAGAGGAAAGGGGAAATGAGGAATGGAGAGAAAAAAGGGGAAAAGGGACAGGGAAAGGAGATGAAAAGTAGGGAAGACAGGAATGGAGAGAGAAAGAAGAGGATTGGAGGCAAGAGTGGGAGAAGAGATATTGGAGGAGGGGAGAAGGGAGCAGAATAAAAGTGAGGAAGGGAGGAGGGAGAAAAAGGAAGAGGAGGGAGACAGGAAAGACAGGACAAAACTCAAGGGGAAAGGGGCTAGAACTTCCTTCCTGAAGCCAGGGTCACAGAAGCACAGATTTAGAGCTGACTGGAATTATCTAGTTAATTATCTTCAAATTTTCCAGTATGTATCTTGTTTGCACATTGTCTCTCCCATTAAGTATTTTTGCCTTTCTTTGTATCCCCAGAGCTCAGCAGAATACCAAGCACATTATAGGTGTTTAATAAACGTTTGTTGACTTGACATGAAGAAGTGTCTGTCCTAAGGTCCAGTTATACATTACAATAATAGTAAATGGTTGAGCTAAGATTTGAACCCAACTCCTCTGACTCTACATCCATCCCTCTGTCCCAATCCATCCCAATGTCACAATATGGTGGGTTGTTGGGGTTTGGGGAGGGAAGGGATGCTCATAGCCAAATTCTAGCTCTGGGAAGGAAGCTCCCTCAAATTCCCTACTACCATGAACTGTAGTAACTTAGAATATCATAGTTGAAAGGGTTTTAAATATTTTTTTAATTAAAAAATTTTTTTTCGAAAGGTTTTTTAAAGATTACCTTGTCCACTCTATCTCCCCACCCCTCAACATTTTACAGATAAGGAAATTAAGACCAGAGGAGAAGGAAGGGGAAGGGGCTTGGCCAGAGTCTACGATCCCAGCGAGTAAGGTTGCTTCAAAGGGTCTGGGAACCAAATCTTTCCTCATTTCCCCCTACCTTTTACCCAAGGCCTATTTTTCTTCTCCTCCTCTTCTTCCTCCTCCTCCTCTTCCTTCTCCTCTTCCTCACCATGCCATTGAGCTGGGCGACATCATGTGGTGAGATTGTGCTACTGCCTTGCCCTCTGCAGGCTGGAAGGATGATGAAGCTGGGAGTACCCGGAGGAGCCAAGTGCAATAGGGTCTTGAAAGCCAATTGCTGAATTTTCAGTGTGCGCATCTACAATCCTAAAATTGGCAAATGCTACAAATCCAGGCTCCACTGATTGTTTTGTTTGATTGACTAGACTTAAGAAGATGATGGAGAAAATGCTAATGATGCAGGTCAAGCTGAAAAGTGTTCTGCTTTTTGCAGAGAGCCAGCTGTTAAACATTTACCAGCATAATTGTGGTTGTGGGGGAGATTAGTTCAGAAATGGGCTGGACGAGTTGGCCTCTGAGATTCCTTCCAACTCAAATTCTGTGACTTTGCAACAGTCTTCCCTCCTTCCCTCCCAGAGATATTAGGAGGAAAGGTCCAGAGAAACGGGAGGAGGAAGGAGGAGGGTGATGACTGATAATGGCTTATTAGAGGGAAGTCAAGTACACAAAAAACCCTGTTTGAAGGAAAGCAGAGACTGGAAGCAGGGATTTTGACCAGGAACCCACTGCAATAGTCCAAGCAGAAGTCTGTCAAGAGCCACAGTGTAAGGAAGAGACTATTAGGCTACTGCCTGCTGAATTGGAGCTGGTGCCCACCATCTTGACTGATAAAGAGTGTTTCTTGGAGGCCTGCTCAGAGTAGTGGAAAGAACAGTGAATTTGGGGACCTCAGTTTCCCCTTTTGAACGGGTCAGACTAAATGATCTCTAAAGTGCCTTCCAGCTAAATTCTATGAGCTTCATGGTGTTGTCGGGGGTGGGGAGGGAGGCAGGGAATTGTGAAGTGAGATATTTGAGGCCTAAACAATTTTTAAACTATTTACCCTAAAATCCCTCTTGAGCAGCCCATGCCTACTGTAGCTCATTCTGGCTCCCAACCTTTTACTCCTGTCCATAGCAGATGAGGCAGCTACCACGGTTTCCATGGCAACCAGGAGAGTGTTCCCCGTTACCACGGTGACCACATCCTTCCACTGGGGCCTGAGAACTGGTGGCCGGTGCCTAAAGTGGGGGTGGGTAGGGAAAGAAGGAAGAAAGAAGTGAAAGAAAAGGAAGGGACTTTAAGGAAGACAGGAAGCAAAGAAGCCCTTCAGTGAGAGATGATGAAAGGGATCGACCCAGATAACTTATCCAACCTCCCATGCCGTGGGTCTTTAGTAGAGGATTTTCCCTTGGATGACGATCTTCCCTTGGATGATGGGATAACTGCCACAGAAAGGTATGGATGGAAAAAGGTGAGAGGAAGATAAATGAACAACCCAGCCTGGGATAAAGGAGGAGCAAAGAAAGACCTAGACTTCACCTGTCATCCACATTGTCCTAAAGATCTGGGTAGAAATAAGGAGAATGGGAAGGGAGGAAGAAAGAGAACGAAAAAATTTAGCCTCTAAATCCAAATATTTGGATGACCCAAATTGCCCTATCTCTGGTCTCGAATTTAAAGATGTTTCTGCTTTCTTGTTTTCATCCAGATTTTGAGATGAAGCACTATTATTGGAATATTAGGAGGCAGCTTGCTATAATGGGGGGAAAAAACCTCACTAGATTTTAAGTCAGGAAGATGTAGGTTCAAATCCTGGCTCATCCATTTACCTATTGTATGACCTTGTGTAAATCACTTCATATCTCTAGGCCTTAGTTTCTGTCTCTGTAAAATGGGGTAACTGGACGAGCTAACCTCTAAGATCTTTTCCAGCTCTAAAGCTATGACTCTAATCCTATGACCTGAATGTGAATCCCTGCTTTGTCACTTTTCTAACTAAAAATGAGATGTTTAAGTGTACCCGCAAAGATAAATGCCATAGAGTAGCTACAATGCAGAACGAAGGTTCACAGGAAACAAAATCCAAGGATAGATAGCAATAACGCTCATGGCTTCAAATATTTGCAGACAAGTATATGACAACTAAATAGAGGCAAAATTGATCAGGCATCCTAACGCAAGGAGGCAAATTTGACCTCACAGATATCAGTGAGACTTGGTGGGATGAGACCCATGACTGCAATATGGCTCTGGGTAGATATATCATATTCAAAGAAACAAGACTGGTAAAAGGCTAGGTGGGATTAGCATTACATAGTAAAAATCCAGAAAATCCAGGATCAAGAGTGGTGAAACATAATGGAAGAGAATTTGGATGGAGATTGATGGAGGGAGAGACAGAAAGGTTTTTGGCACTGGATTATACTATAGACCACCTGGGCAGAAAGAAGCGATAGATTTATAATCTATGTGAGTAGTGATAAGAGACTTTTGTTGTCTGGACATCTGCTCTTGTTTTCCCTCTGCCCAAAGCAGAGCAGCTACAAATGTCTTGATTTGACTTAATGCTCATTTTGTCAAGGGAAGTTTCTTTCCTGGATCTGATCTTCACCAGTAGGCAGGAGCTGGTTACTAGGGTGATGATGACAGAACCTTTGGAGTGATGTGAATTTGTCATAGAGAAAGAGCAGAAAGAAAGGCAGGCTCCCATGCAACCCAGATTTGGGAAGAGCCATTTCCAAAGGGTTCAGGGACTGAATCATTGGCAGGATCTATCGAGGAAGTCAATCAGCTCAGGAGGGATAGAATTCTGTGAGATAGAGAAGCATGTTACAGGACTGCATTGTGCCTGGCACATAGTAGGTGCTTAATAAATGCTTATGGATTGTGATTATTAAGACATCTGCTAAAATTTTTTTCCACCAAAAGCACAGAAGCTGATAACTTCTTGACTTTCTCTAATGATAATGTAATCATGAAGCTGCTGTCTCCAAAGTTACCAATGATCTCTTAACTGCCAGATCTGACGGTCTTTTCTCAGCCTTCAGCCTTCCTGACCTCTCTGCAGCCTCTGACATTGCTGACTACTTTCTCCCGGATATTCTCTAACTCCGAGCTTTTGTGCCACTGTTCTCTCTCTCTGGGTTCTCCTCCCAGTCTTTCTCAAGGGCTCCAATCCTAATCAATTTACTTATTGGACATTTCGAACTATATGTCCTGTAAGCATCTTGAACTCTAAGCTCCCAAAACAGAACTCCATATTTTCCTCCCCACTTTCTCCCCTATTCCTAACTTCCCTATTACTGTTGAGGGGACCCGCCCACCCAGTTTCCCCAGGTTTGAAACCTCATGGTACTTCTTGACCCATCATTCTCACTCATCTCACATTCCCAATCAGTTGCCAAATCTTGTTGTTTCTACCTTTGGGAGATTTCTTTCATCAGACCCCTGTCTCTCTACTCACAGCCATCACCTTCATCAGAAGACCTTCATCACTTCTTGCCTGGACAGCACCTGCGTGCTCCCAACCACTTAGATTTTCCCTCTAAAGCTACCTTCCTTTTACTCTGTCTCTTATATTTGCCTATTTGTTTACATGCTGTCTCTCTCATTGGAGAGACTAAACATTTATATATCGTCTACTCTACTCCAAGCGCTGTGCTAAGCACTATACAAACGTCACCTTATTTGATCTTTGCAACAGCTCTGAGGCAGGTGCTACTATCACCTCTTTACAGTTGAGGAAACTGAGGCAAGTGGAGATGAAGTGACTTGTCCAGGCTCACATAGATAGTAAATGTCTAAGGCTGGATTTGAATTCAGGTCTTCCTGATGCCGGGCCCAGACCTTTATCCACTGTGACACCTAGCATGCTATTAATATGTGAGCTCCTTAAGAAGAGGGATGAGCTTATTTTAGCTTAGCACAGTGCCTGGTACATACCAAGCCCTTAATACCTTAACTATCGATCTGTCTATCTGTCTATCTATCTATCTATCTATCTATCTATCTACTATCAGCTCCCATGGGTTTAGTTATTATCCTTATGCAGATGACTCCCAGATCTATTTATTTAGCTCCACTCTCTCCCCTGAGCTCAAGTCCTATATTCTCAACTCAAACTATTGGATAGTTTGAACCAGATGTCCATTAAATATCAACATGTCCAAAACAGAACTCATCTTTTCCCCAAAATCTACCTGTCTTCCATACTTCCCTATTTCTTTCAAAGGCATCATCATTTTTCCAGTCTCCCAAGTTTATCTTCTCAGACTTACGCTCATCTCCTCATTACACAGATCTGACCATGTCACTCACTCACCTGCAGTAACTCCTTACTACCTCTAGGATAAAATACAATCTCTTCTGTTTGGCTTTTGAGGCCCTTTATAAACTAGCCTCAACTGATCTTTCTTGCCTCACTATGCATTACTTCCCCTCCCCAGCTCAAAATTCAGCCAACTGGCCTTTTCTCTATTCCTCGCACAAACTCCACCTCCCATCTCTCTGACTTTGCTCTGGCCATCCCCCTGTCTTGAAATGTACTTCTTGTTCACTTCTGTCCCTTTAAAGAAGAGAATCCCCTTCTTTAAAGATGCCCTCAGTGCCAACTTTTACATGAAGCCTTTCTTGATCCCTGCAGCTTTCAATGCCCTCCCTCCCAAACTATCTTGAATTTATTTACACTTGTTCTCTTTATTTTTATTCTCTATGTGCGTATATGTGCATGCATTGTCCACCTGAGTGGAATGTGAGCTTTTTGAGAAGAGGGATTGTTTCATTCTTTGAACTATTATTCCCCAGTGCTTATTGTAATGCCTGGCACATATTAAACATTTAATAAATGCTTATAGGTTGATTGATGGATTGATGTGGATGAGTGAGAGTGAGAAGTCAAGGCTGAGATGACATTGTACATCTGAGTGGCTATTGTAGATGACCTTTTCAAGGAGTTTAGTCAATTCCATACGTGTCCCACAGGAATTTAATTTGTAGGCAATAGGGAAGGAGCCAGCAGACAAGAAGAGGTCAAGGTAGAGTGGGGATGATAGAAGGGACAATCTTTTGGAAAGGACAGGATGGAATGGGATCACTTGTGCATGGAGAGGGGTTTGCCTTGGCAAGAAAGAGGGCCACCTCATTATGTGAGATAGGGGTAAAGGAGATGGTAGCAGAAGGCATCTGGGTGATATGAGATGAGGAAAAAGGGAGAACAGGGAGCTCTGGGTAAATGACCTCCATTTTTTCAGTGAAATATAAGGCAAGGTCCTCAGCTGAGATAGCTGTGGGTAGCCATGAGAAGTTTGAGGGGAGGATGAAAAGGTTTGGAAGAGTGGGATGGTGAGTTGATAAGGTGGGGTATAGAATGAGTGCCCGGCAGCAGTGAGAGCTCAGTTGAGGTTGTGTAACATAAATTTGTGGGGGACCCAGTGGTGGACCCAGTCAGTATGGTTTTGTGATTTCTGAGGCTTTGTTCAGCAGCATGTATGCAGGAGCAAAGGCAGTTGGTAGGAATGCTCCAATGCAGAGGCTTGGCTATGCAAGGAACTCAAGGGAAGAGGACCTTGTCAAACTGAACTGGTTCACCAATGGGTCAAGATGGGGAAAGGAAGGGAGTATAGCTAGTATAGGCGTGGTAGTCTGAGAAAGACCTGGGTGGTCACCCTGAGGGGCTGCAAGGCAAAGGAAGAGGTGGAATTACAATAGAAGGTGATAAGACCTGGGAAATTTAGAGTTCACTGGGGCAGTGAGGTGGCACAGCAGATAGAGCATTGAAAGACTCATCTCCCTAAATTCAAATCTGGTCTCAGACACTTACTAGCTGTGTGACTCTATGTAAGTCACTTAACCCTGTTTGCCTCAGTTTCTTCATCCATAAAATGAGCTGGATAAGGAAATGACAAGCCATTCCAGTATCTTTACCAAGAAAACCCCACATGGGTTCATGAAGAGTTGGACATGACTGGGACAACAAAGAGTATGACCACTTTTGCATGTGGCTGAGATGGGGTAGAGGTTCGGGAGGTCCAGGGAAAGGAGCAAGTTGAGGAACTGGGAGGTTAGAGTGTTTGAGGGAGTATTGATACGTGTGTTGAAGTCCCCAAGTATGAGGGCAGGAGTTAGGGAGGAGATTCTGTGAGCCAGGCACTGGACTGATTGAGGAAGGAAGAAGAGTATCCAGGAGGTAGACAAGAGCCACCAGAATTTTGATTGGATGGTTGTTGTGTTTGTCCTTCTTTCTCAAAAGAGGACCAATGACCTCCTGGGGGCAATGCCAGCCTCATCTGAAGATCCAAAAGTCCCTGGTTGGATCCCAGTTTTATAAAAAGGGAGATTGAATGGTAGCTATGGATTGAGGGAAGCTCAAAGTAAGATAGGGTACCGAGTGATGGTAGTAAAGGGAGAACCCAGAAGGGGCAGGGGGAACAAGGAGTATTCGAACTTCCTCACCTTGTCCAGTCAGTCAAGGGAATGAGCAAAAAGATGTCCGCCAGCGCTAGAAATGCAGGCCAGAGAGGTTGTGTCATCAACAGGAAGTCAATGAGACCATCAATGAGAGCCAGAAGATGAAAGGAATGGGAAAGAAAAAGATTTAATGTGGAAGCAAGTTTGTTACCTGTGAAACAGGCATTACAGATATCACAGTGGGAGAGGTGGGTAGTTTTCGAGTAAGACATTGTGAGGATTGGGTTCAGGCACATGGGAATAAAGAATAAAGTATTAGGAGATGTAGAATGGGGGTTTGAATTATGATATCTTGGTATTCAGAATCGCCAAAATGGGTATGACCCACAGAGAATTTGTTAATCTTTAAGGAATGTGTTCTGGGAGGTTTCCATTGTCAATAAGTTGTGGCTTCACAGTGGCATCCTCTCAGGGTCTTAGGCAATTCAGGAGCTGAAGGAATGGTGTTGTTCCCCTTCCTTCGAGGCAAGTGACCAGGCTGGAGACTTGATGGAATGGCCTTTCTCTTTTTCCCTGTAAGGGAGGAGTCTGGTGCTCTATGGGATAACATTTCTTCTCTTCCCCATAGTGGGGGAGGATGTTGGTGGGCAACGGGAGGGACAGATTATAAATTCATGCAAGAATAAATGTATTCTTTAAAAGATTTTTTAAAAAATTCCATGTCCAGAAAGCAGTTGGCTATGTGGGACTACAAATGAGGAGAGAGACTAGGCCTGGATATATATTTGGTTGGACTCCTTTTTTTTTTCTTTTTTGGAGGCTATCAGAGTTAAGTGACTTGCCCAGGGTCTCACAGCTAGTAAAGATCTGAGGCTGGATTTGAACTCAGATCCTCCTGACTTCAGAGCTGGTGTTCTATCCACTGTGACACCTAGCTGCCCCTAGGGCTGGATATGTAGATCTGACAATCATTTCCATAGGGATTATAATTGAGTCTATGAGAATTGATGAGATTGCCAAATAAAGGTGTATAGAGAGAAAAGAGGGCCCAGGACAGAGCTTTGGGGAATACCCAACAGTCGGTGGCTGTGCCATAGATTAAGATCCAGCAAAGCTTGAGACCAATGAGGAACTTCAGAAAGGTAGGAGGACAACCATGAGGAATGTCATGAAAACCTAAAGAGGAGTATTTCCAAGAGGAGGTGGCCAATGAAGTTAATAGTGGGGAACTCTGTGTATGGCTTAGACTAGTTGGCCAATGAACTCCCTTCCAAGCTCAGGTTCTGGGATCTTTTGCCAAAAGATGTCAAGAGTTCAAGAAAGATGAGAATTTGGCAATTAAGAGATCACTTTTGGAGAGAGTAGTTTCAGTTAGGTGAACCTTGGCAATATGGACACCATATTGCCAAGTGACAAGATAGAGACTCTCCAGTTGGGCATTTAAAAGTCCTTCATAGTCTGCCTTCGCCTTACTTTTTCAGACTTCCTTCCTCTAGCTCTACCTTAAACACTCTTCCTTCCAGTCACATTCCCCAAACTTCTCACTCCTTCCACCTCCTTGCCTTTGTACACACTTTCCCCTAGTCCTGGAAGGCTCTCCTTCCTCCCCTCACTTCTCGGAAGCCTTCGCTTCTTCCAAGGCTCAGCACGGGTGCCACCTCCTAAAGGAAGCCCTCCCAGGTCCTGTAGGTGTTCATGAGCTGTCCTCATTCATTTCCCTGAGAACAGAGACTGTTGTTCCTCTTTGTGTATCTCCAACAGTAATCTGCAGATTAGGACAAGGACCAAATTTATTGGTCTACTTTATGGGTATTGGGAAATCCCTTCAAAATGGAAACTTCCTCATCCAATGCAGATCAGCTCCTGCTTTGTGAACTGGAATTTTAGAATGTTGCCTATAACCTGAGAGGTTAAGTTGCTGCCCAGGAGCTCACAGCCAGTATGCTTTAGTGATACTACTTGAAACCAGTCCCCCCGGCTTCAGAACTGGCTCTTTATCCACTATGCTAGACGGCCTAGCAGATAATAGGCATTAAATGTTGGAATTGATGAATTGTCTAAGGTGACAGTAAGTAGGGCGTTGAGGGAAGAGTAGAGAGTAGAAGATTCCTACCTAGGATGCAAGCTTTGATACCCACCGTCATACCATGACACACAGCTAAGATGTTTCTAAGATAAGTCTTCCCAGGCATAGGGTTTAGAACTGGAAGGGACCTTTGGAATCATCTGCTCCAATTGCCTCATTTTACAGATGAGGAAACTGAGGTCCCAGAGAGGTGAAATGATTTGTCCAAAGACATAGTAAGAAGCAGAGAACCAGGATTCAAGCTTAGGTTTTCTGGCTGAAAAATCCAATTCATTCTATACTACAGAAAGAGTAGAGGGAACAGAAGAAGTAGGGGGAAGAAAAGAGAAGAAAGAAGGGGAAAGGGGTAGGTAGAGAAAGAGAGGAGGAAGATGTAGACAAGAAAGGAGGAGAAAAAAGGTAGAGGAGGAGGAGAAAGAAGAAAAAGATGAGGAGAAGGGGTTGGAAGAAAAGTAGGGGGTGATGGGGAGAAAGGAGAAGGAAGTAGAAGTGAAAGGAAAGGAGGTGGAAGAGGAAAGGGAAGAAAAAGAAGAAGAGGAAGAAGAAGACGAGGTGGAAGAGAAGAAGAAAGAGGGGAACGTGGAGGCAGAGAAGGGGGAGGGGAAGAAGAGGAAGGTAAGCTCTGCAACAGTAGGGGCATTTGTATCCCCACCACCTAGTACAGTGCCTGGCACACGGTTCTTTAATATATGTTTAGTATATGGTTGATTGAGGAGAAGGAGGTAGAGGACAGAGGCTAGTGGGAGCCGCATTCTCAGGGTTATAGTTGAAAGACAAAGGCCCTTGAATGATGTACAGACAGGCAGAGGAGGTAGCTAGATGGATAAGTGGATAAGGGCACTAAGCGTGAAGTGCTTAGGAAGACCTGAGTTCAAATCCAATCTGTGTGACCTTGGGGAAGTCACTTAACCTGTTTGCCTTAATCCACTGGAGAAGGAAACGGCAAAGCACTCCAGTATCTTTGCCGAAAAAACCCCATAGACAATATGGTCCATAGGGTCATGAAGAGTCAGAAACGACTACACAACTCAGACAGGCATGAGAGCTATCAATAAGAGAGAAACTTTCCCTGAGCATGCCTGGGGCGGGCGAGGACAGCTCAAGCGGCACCTGGCATTTTATAGCTTCATAGAATTCATAGCAGCAGAGGCCCTTGGAACAATGTTCAAACACCAAGGACGCCAAGAGTACAAAGCAGGAACCTTGGCACACAGAAGGTCAGAAGCTGGAAAGGGACCTTGGTCCACAGAATCCAGAAGAACCCAGAATTTCAGAGACGGATGAGATCTCAGAACACGGATTCTGTAACTGAAGGTTTTATATGGTCTGAGTGAAACACAGACCATGTGACTCCGAAGGGTCCTTAGAGACCATCTAGTTCCGTCCTTTCATCTTAAAATAGGGGGAGGGGGAATTGAGTCCCCAGAGGAGAAGTTCAAGGTCATAGGTGGCAAGATGGCAGCACTGGGTTGTTAGACTCCATATTCAGGGGGGCTTCTTCCATGACTCCCCACTCTGGGTTTGTGTGCCCAGTTTCACACCCTCTACAACCTTCTCCTGCCCTCAACCTTAACACCAAGTTCTTCCCAAGGGAGATCATCTCACGTCCTTGGACAGAAGATGATGAAATGCCAGATGTCATCGTCACTGAACTTCGGTCATGGAAGAAGTGTCATCAACGCTGTAGCTCTGGACACCACAGGAAAAGCAGGATCGATGAGCTGGCCAAGCCCAAGGTCAACCATCAGATCATAATAGACAGGTGTGGACAGCAGTATCATTGGGGAACAGAGAGAAGGATGGAAAGATCACTTTCCTTAGTTTCCCCTATCTGTAAAATTGGAGAGGAGACATTGTATGGGATGATCTCAGGGGCCCCTTCTAGCTCTGACATCCTATGCTCTATTTCTTAAGATTCCTTCTAGATCTGACATTCAATGACTCTAAATGAAAATAAGAGTGCAGGGTCTTCACTAATCTCTGCCCCCAGGGGCCTTCTATCCCCCCCCCAAAACTCTGGGTTCCTGGCCCGGCACTCAGAACCACATGCCCTCCTGGCTTTCTCCCACTGTGACCCTTCGTCCCATCCCAAATCCCTGCACAACCCTTAGACTGGGGTCAGGTGAAGGTGGGGCCATAGAGAGTAAATTGGACCCTTGGAATAGAAGAAAGGAACAACAGGAAGGAGGAGTGTGAGATGGAATGGATAAGGTTCTAGAAGTCAGAAAGGAAGGCAAGCAGCATGCTATAGTAGAGAACGCCCCAAGGTTGGAGTAAGAGAACCCAGGTTGGGGTCTTCATCACCATGCGATCATGTCCCCTGAACTCCAGTGGCTCCATCTGTAAAATGGGAGGATGGAATAAGACTGTCTCCAAATTCTTTGGGATTTTTTGCTGCTGAGAAAGGGTCTTAAGTGGGGCTGAGAGGCCGATAAATCAATAAAGGAGGGGAGGGTCCCTAGCTGGTTATAGCATAGAAAGGGCACTCAGGGCACAGATTAGCCCCCAATTTCATCCACTTGAGCAGGTGGATGGGTGAAAGAATGGTATAAAAGGATAAGTGCCTCACTTTTCTCCCATATAAAATGGGAGGGAATGAGCTAGGTGATATCTGAGGTTGTTTTCAGCTACAGATCTTATAAACCCATGAAATCCCTTGGTTTCTTCCAGGCCTTCAGTGTATTGGACTGATAAGATACAACCAGATACTACCCTCAGTGTGACTTTTCCTCGTAAGTCGTGCCTACATTCTATGCCCAGCTTCCTTCCTCATGGTCCCTAGGGAAGTCTCTCTCCCTCCATCTATACATTTGGTCTCTCTTTTCCTACCCCTGCCCACTGGGCAGCCATGCAGATCCAGGGAAAGCCTGGTGACCACCCAACTGTCATGTAAGTTAGGTGTATCCCAGTACACAGATTGGGGGCAGTGGGTGTAATATCTTAATACTGCCATTCGTGGGCTGCATGCTCACTTCCCCTTTCAGCACCTCAGTTTCCCCACCCATAAAATGAGGCAGTTGGCCTTGATGTCTAAGATTCCTTCTGACTCTTACCTATGTTCTAATGTCTGTCTATGTTCTGACATCTTGTGTTCTATGTTCTAAAGTCCCTCTCAGACCTGACAGTCTGTTTTAAGGGCCTACCCAGTTCCAACATTAGGTGTTCTAAGGGCTCTCTGAGCCCTGGCATTCCGTTCTAGGGTCCCTCCTTGCTCTGACATTCTACACTCTGTTTGGAGGTCCCTCCTAGTTCTGTGGTTCTACATTTCCTGCCTGTGTTTTAAATTAGATTTGACTTGAATACAGCTTTTTCAGAAAGGTGCCTATTGTGCAAGGCAAGGGAACTGTCACTCCCTACTTGTCAGATGGATACAGGAATAATTCCTGGGCTGTTTTTCTAAAATTCAATTGTAGTTGTGACCCCAAGACTAGAAGAACTCTCTAGACCCAAACGATTCTATTCAACCTACTACAATGAAAGCAGGTAAGAGGGTTGGAAGGGGGGCAGTATCGACAACAGAAGGTAGAGGTGGACCACCTGCACCTGCACTCAGCCCCCATCACTGCTTCTCCTGATCTTCTCATCTGGAATCCTAGGCAAAGCTGGAAAAAATCTGAGGGGGTGATGAAAAGGTGGGGCTAGGTGGCTTCCGAGGCCCCTCCCCGCTCTCACCTTCTCAGTGCTGTAGACTAGACTCATAGAATGTTAGAACTGGAAAGTGTGTTACAGGATATCTAGCACAACCCCCTTATTTTATAGATGAGGAGTCTCAGGGGTTTCACAGCTCTGACCTTCTATGTTCTAAGGGCCCTCCCAGCTCTGACCTTCTCAGTGCTGTAGACTAGACTCATAGAAATTAGAACTGGAAAGTGCCTTACAGAGTATCTAGTACAACCCACCTCCCCCCCCCGATTTTATAGGTGGGGAATCCCAAGGGTTTCTCCAGCTCTGATACTGTGTTCTAAAGTCCCTCCCAGCTCTGACACTCTGAGTTCTAAGAGACCTTCCATTTCTGACATTCTGGGTTCTAAGGACCCTCCCAGCTCTGACATTCTGAGTTCTAAGGACCCTCATAGCTCTGACATTCAGTATCCTCAGAGTCATCCCGGCTCTGACATTCTCAGTGGCATAGACCAGACTCCTAGAATATTAGAACTGGAAAGTACCTTATAGGTTATCTAGTACACCTCCCTTATTTTATATATGAGGAGTCATAGGGGTTTCTCCAGCTCTGACATTCTGTGTCCTAAGGGCCCTCCCAGCCTCTGACCTTCCGTGTGGCATGATTCTACTTGGGATCTAAGTCTTGGGCAGGGAGGCCTATGGTTGTCAGCAGGCTCAGTCTAGCAGGGCAGGACCTGGAGAGGGAAGCACTCAAGACTCATCCTCTTCCTGCCTGTGATCAAATGAGGATGACTGGGGCCGAGGCGTTCCTTAGGGGTCCAGTCAACATATCAGAGGGGGAGGGAGAAACTGGAGATCCCAGTGCTTCTTCTTGCAACCCTTCTGGAAAACCTTTTGAAAATGCCCCTAGCCATCCAGAGCCTACCACCTGCTACTTACCCATAAGCCCAGGACACCAGAAAAGGTGCCTGATACTTCATCATGTCCCCAAATAGTTATTTCCACCAGGATGTGGGAGGATGCATGTACTGATTTCAGTCCCGATGCCCCCTCCCAGCTCTATCCTGTAGCCCCCAACACACCTTCAAGACAAATACTTGGTCCACGCACCAAGCTAAGAATGGAGAGCTGAGCGTGTTGGGGAGGAGGGAAGGGAGGCACATCTCACACAGGCTTTGTGCCCCGGTGAAAAAGGACCACTGGGAGCAGGAGGGCTCTCTATTGTGAAGTTCCCTCAGGCTGACCCTCCCTGTCTCAGGTCCACACCTATTTGGCCCATTTCACGGGCATCGCTGGAGGCCAAGGCTTCACCTCGTCTGAAGGTGCTTGCATATCCAAAGATTCGGAACAACATCTGGGTCATTGATTCTTCTGTGGTAAGTGTCTCCTCACTGCCTACTAGGTCTTTCTGGGGTGATTGCCACCTTCTTCCATTCCCAATTATCAGATCAAAATATTGTTCTCCTTGTTGGTTGGAGGGAGGATGCTAGAGGGTATTAGAAGCTTCTAGGTTTGTTTTTTTGTTTGTTTGTTTACTAGTACCCCCTGGGTTCTATTTCTTGAGTTATCCTGAATGACAGCAGAGTCTCAGTCTTTAAGTCAACAAACAATAAACATTTATAATTGCCCATTATGTGCTGGGCCCCCAGTGGCTGGGGAGGGAAGGAACAAAATTTAGGTAAGACATGGTCCCTTCCCTCAGGGAGCTCCCAGTTTGCTAGGGGAATAAGACACAAATACAAAGAATTGATTATAATACAGACTGTTGCATAAGCTTGTTGGGAGAAATACAACACGCTATGTAAGCCCTGAAGGGGGAAGGTCATTACTGAATGTCCTTGCCTGAAGAGAAGATAAAAGAAGCAGGGAAATGCCTCTATACTTTCTAAATTATGAGAGAGAATAAAGTTGTCTTTTTTAAAAATGTGTATACATGTGCATATTTGTGTGTATATGTATAGATTACATATATACATATAAATATACATAAACACATATATAGAAAGTGAGAAGGAGGGGGAGAGAGAGAGGAAGAAAGGGAGAAAGAGGAAAGGAGAGAGATGAGAGAGAGAGAGAGAGACAGAGAGAGAGACAGAGAGAGGGAAAGACAGGGGAGAAAGAAAAGGAGAGAGGACAGGAAAAAAGAGAAGAGGAGAGAGAGAAAGAGAAAGAGAGAAGGGGAAGAAGGGGTGGGGAGAGACAGAGACAGAGAGGGAGCCCCAAAATTCTTAGGGCAATTTTAACACTATATATGAACAGTCAACAAGATGGTGTTAAGTCATGAAAGAGAGAGGGAGAAAAGAAAGGACTACTGTACAGAAACTGTATAAAAAACAGATAAGAAACTCTTCCTGAAGAAAAGAAAGCTGGGCCCTCTGGGGAGGAAGCAGCTGCTTCACCTTCAAGCAGTGATGATGTGGGTTTGAAAGTGCTGTTGGGAAACAGCTCATCCAATAAGACTCAGAGGAAGAAGAAAAGAGGAGAGGTGCCTGCATAGACCTGAAGATGATTCACATCCTGATTTAAAAAAAGAAAAAGAAAAAAGGAAGAGAACAGAGTCTGCAAACAATACATCAGTGAGCTAGGCTTCAGTTCTTGGTGAAATTTGAGAACGTATCTCTGAAGTGTGTTTTCATGGAAGATATGTATGCTCACGTGGGTTAGCAAAATGTGACTCTTGGGAGGCAGCATCTGAACCCTGAACCAAGGAGACCTGAAGAAAGGAGACCAGCATGACATTGGTCATGGAAAGGCAGGCAAACTCCTAGAATATCAACAGGCTGGGTGCGCTTTCATTGAGTCTCCAAGGAGGTACCAGACCAGACATAGCTAACTGTCCTCTCTAAATAATGCTGGTCTAGGGGGCAGCTAGGTGTCTCAGTGGATAGAGCACAGCCCTGGAGGCAGGAGAACCTGAGTTCAAATCTGATCTCAGACACTTGACGCGTACTAGCTGTGTGACGCTGGGCAAGTCACTTAACCCCGATCGCCTCAGCAAAAGTAAAATAAATAAATAAAAATAAAACAAAGCTCTCCCAAGGACTTAGCCATGCAGACTCTCAACCAATCCACAATCTCCTTCTGTATATATAGCAGCATTATATATATATATATATATATATATATATATATATATATGTCTATATACACGTACACATATACATATGTATGTATAATTATTATATATGATTATATATATATGTGATTAGCGAACAGTTAGAAAAAGGGCAGCTAGTTGGTGCCGCAGTGCATAGAGCACTGGGCCAGGAGTCAGGAAGATTTCATCTTCCTAAGTTCAAATCTGGACTCAGACACTTAGTAACCGTGTGACCCTGGACAAGATACTTAACCCTGGTAGCCTTAGTTTCCTCATCTGTCAAATGAGCTGGAGAAGGAAATGGCAAGCCATTCCAGTATCTCTGCTAAGAAAACCCCAAACAGGGTCACAAAGAGTTGGATATGACTGAACAACAAAGACATGAAACCATCCTCCCCAAAATCCAAGAAGATTCCATCAAGATTAGTTTAGACTTGTAGATCATGGGAATGCTCTAGATGCATATTTTAGGAAAGCGTTTGACAAAGTCTCATATTATATATGTAGGGGAAAATGGAGAGATATGGAAAGCACACTGAGGGGCCTGCAGAATTACTCAATGTCCAGACCCATTGCTGTTATTAGTGGCTCAAAGGCACCTCAGAAAGAGGTGTACCATGCCTCAGGAGCTGCATCTTGGTCTTCTGTTAACATTTTCATCACTGATTGAATGAAAACATTGACAACATGCTTATCAGATATGCAGACGACATCAAGCTAATACCCAAGACCATAAACCGAGAGAACTATAGTGCACGGAGTGTTGGGTTGGGATTCAGGAGGGCTTGGGTTCAAATCACTTAACCTCAGTTTGCCTCAATCTACTCAACTGTAAAATGGGGATATATTCCCACCTACTTCCCAGTTGTTGAGAGGAACAAATGAGGTAATAGTTGTAAAATGCTTAGCACAGTGCCTGGCACATAGTAAGCACTACATAAATTTTAGCTATCAGTATACTTATTAAAGTTGGAAGGAACTTTAGAGATCATCTAATCCAACCTCCCTCAAGCAACAGGATTCAGGATATAAATAGCTCTGGACAAGTGAGAATATATTGGGTTGAATCCAATAAAATGAAATTTAATAGGCTTAAGTATGAAGTCATACACTTGAATTAATAAACAATTAACTTCATTTGATCAAGCAGGGAAGGGAGAAGAATGGGTAGATAGGAGTTATTGAGAGAAAGAACTGGGGTGGGTTTTTTGGGGGGGCAGTATTCCCCAGTTTTAGCACAGTGTCTGGAACATAGCGGGCACTTATTAAATGCTTGTTGACTTACCTTTCCTAACAAAAGACCCAGGGCACATGAGCAACGTAAATCAACCCCGAGATATGGCAGCCAAAAAAGCTCACGGATCTTGGGCTAACCTCCGGGAATGAGAAGGTCCCTGATTTCCTTTATTCTGCCCCCAGTCAGAACATCTGATATAGTCTGTCCCATCCTAGCCAACATTTTAGCTAGGACATGGACGAGCTGGATAGCAATAGTCCAGGGTAGCCATGCAGGATGATGGTAAAGAATCTCTCCAGATCATGCCCCGTGATGAAGGAACCAAGAAAGCTTAGCCTGGAAAGCAGGAGCAGCAGAACGGCTGTCTTCAAGTTGGAAGGGCTGTCATGAGGAAAAGATTCCTCCTTTTGGTTTTGGGGTGTTTCTTTTTAAAGACTTATTCCGCTTGGTCCTAGATGGCAGATCTAGGAACAATGGGAGGCATTTTGGAAAGAGGCGGGTTTGTGCTAGGGTTCAAGGAAAAAATGTCTCAATGGTTAGAGCTGTCTGAAAGTAATAGGTGGGGGCTCAGAGGTCACACTCAAGGTAACACAGGGAGGATGTGGCAAAGTCAGGATAAGTTTATACCTGGGATGCCCAGGTTCAGATGGGCCCCTAAAAGGCTGTTGCATCTATCTCTGGACCTGCAGACAGCTCACCCCCTTAAACCATCCTAGTCAGATGAGACCTAATTCTAAATGGGAAAACTCTGCCCCTTACCTTCTGGCTTCCCTGGCTTCCTTCACATCTTTGCTAGAGACCCACCTTCTGCAAGATGTCTTTTCTCATCCTCCTTAATTTTTGTGACTACCTCTGAGACTACCCCCAGTTTATCCTACGACTATCTTGTTTGTACACAGTCATTTGTATATTGCTTCCGCATTCGAATGGGAGCTTCTTGAGAGTAGAGTATTGTCTTTGCCTTTCTTTGTATCCTGAGTGTCTTAGCACAATGCTTGCCACACAGTAGGTGCATAATGTTTATTGCCTGACTGACATGGATGGTTCTTTTTTTTTTTTTTTGGTGAGGCAATTGGGGTTAAGTGACTTGCCCAGGGTCACACAGCTAGTGAGTACGTTATGTGTCTGAGTCTGGATTTGAACTCAGGTCCTCCTGACTCTAGGGCCAGTGCTCTATCCACTGTGACACCTAGCTGCCCCTGACATGGATGGTTCTTGAGCTGCATATTGGGGTGAGCAGAGGGTAGGGAGAGGGAGCCACGGGAACCTGCGGGCCCCTTCCCCACACCACATGTCTGTTTTCCTCCTTCTTCCCTACGTTGCCTAGATACAAGTGTCAAAGGCAGCACAACTAGCCCAGGCCAGACCTCGGACCCTGGAGCTGGCAGCCCCCAGAAACAAGACCGTGTCATCTACCGAATTGTACATCGCACAAAAGAGTAAGCAGCGTCCTCCAGACTTTGACCGGATCCACAGCTTGGCTAGTAAGTGGCCTGCATTGGGAATGTCTCCAGTTACTAGCAGGCCTGTTGTACTTCCTCCTCTAATTCTAGGGGGCAGAAGAAGCTAAGACTTGGGAAAAGCTTAGCACCCTTGCCATGCACTGGCCTTCCTAGTGGGAGCTACTAACAGGACACGGGATGCTCCCTAGGAAGGTCTCCTTGCCTTCTTCATGCCACCCTCCCCAGTGCCTCAGCGCCCCAAGCTCCACCATCGGGAATGAATTCTTTCCTCCACGATAGTATTTTGTTATTATTGTTGTTTACTCATTTTCAGTCACGCCCGTTGCTTTGTGACCCCATTTGTTGTTTTCTTGGCAAAGGTACTGGAGTGGTTTGCTGTTTCTTTTTTTCCAGCTCATTTTACAGATGAGGAAATTGAGGCAAACTGCGTAAAGTGATTTGCCCAGGGTCACACAGATGGTAAGTGTCTAAGGCCACGTTTGAACTCAGGTCTTCTTGACTACAGACCCACTGCACCACCTAGCTGCCCCTAATAATATAGAATATATTGTTACATAATATTTCATAAACATGTAGAAATGGAAGTTATTATTATCATCGCTATTTTTCTTTATAAGTAGAACCAGAAAGTCCTATTCTAAAGCTTTATCATGTCATACAGGCAACCTGGATTCTCAAAGAGTATACCAGCCAAGCATAAGCTTTGACAGGTTCCTACCATCATGGGAAGAGTCTGTTTTTCCTCCTGTCTTCCTACATGGCTTTGTTTTTCAATTAATAAACATTTATTTTCTCTCTCTGTTACCTTCCCCAATTTAAAAAGGGAAAAAAGGAACAGATGTACACAGTCAAGCAAAACAAATTCCCACATTGTCCACATCCAAAAACGTATGTCTCATTCCGCACCTTGAGTTCATCATTCCTCTCTCAAGAGGTGGGCAGAACATTTCATCGTAAGTCCTCTGGAACTGTAATTGATAATTGCAGCAATCAGACTTCTTAGTCTTTCAAAGTTGTTTGTCTTTACAATGTTGTGGTTACTGTATAAATTGTTCTCCTTGTTCTACTTATTTCATTCTGCATCAGTTCACACAAGTCTTCCCAGGTTTCTCTGAGCCTATCCCATTCCTCATCTCTTATGGCATAATATTGTTCCATTATGTTTATACATACTAATTTAATCAGCCATTCCCCAGTTGATTTGCATCCTCTTAACAGCCAAACAAGTTTTGATTATGGTTCCCATAATATACCACGTCTGCTTTCCAAGGACTTTTGTACAACAGACCTGATGAATTCTTTGTCTATGGAAACAAAGAAAAATACAAAACTGCTTCCAGTCTGGTGCATCCCCCTTCCATTTCTGCAGGAGTGGGAAAAGGAGGCATCAGATACTAAGAATCACACAAATTTTGGACTGCCTATAAACATTAACAGCTGTCAGGACTTTAAATAAGAGCCCTTTTCCAGTGATAGAGTGACTATACCACAGAAGGACTGAATCATATCAGTGTTGACATTCTTGCTATAAATGAAAACAGAAGACAGAAGAAAGTTGCCACCAAATGGAAGGATGGTTTGCAAATTCTCTTTGAAGAGATGAACGATGAGGATACTGAAAGAAGTTAGAAAATGGCCTCAGCCAGCAGACATTTGATCGATTTACCAAGTTGAGAGCCATGGACGTCAAAGAGACACTGGTTTAAAATATAAGCTCAGAAACAGTATAAAAATTTTTAGAAACATGGCAAGAGGCCAATCCAGATCATTCTGAGGGCATTTAAGGATTAAAATCGGAAGGAGAACAACAGACCAAAAAAATGTAAAAAATTGGTAAAAAAATTTCTAGAACAAATTTTTTTTCTCCTTAAAGGGCAGTGGCACCACCGTACCGGGGAATCTTACTTCACAGAAGAAGTTCAACAGAGATTGGAGCAGACAAGGAGAGAATTGGGGGAGGGGGATCCTATCAAGTGTTTCTGAGGTATAGAACTAGGAACCAGGGATCTTTGAGCTAAGGCTTGAAGGAAGCCAGGGAAATCAGGAGGCAGAGGTGAGGAGGGACAGCATTCCCAGGTATGAGAGACAGCCAATGGAGTCTGGAGATGGAGTGTCCTGTGAGGGGCACAAAAGAAGACCAGTGCATGGGGGAAGGTGGGAGGGAATACTGGAGAGGTGAGCAGTTTGAATAAGGTATGAGATTGTAAAAGTAGGAGGGGCCAGGCTGTGAAGAGCATTAAGAGTTAAACAGACTGGCCAGGAGTCAGGAAAACCTGAGTTCAAATCTGGACTCAGAAGCTACTTAACCTTTGCTTGCCTCAGTTTCATCATCTGTAAAATGGGGTAATAATAGCACTTACCTCTCAGGGTTTTTGTGAGGATCAAAAGAGATAATAATTGTAAAGTAGTTAGCACAGTGCCTGGCACATAGTAAGAGCTATATAAATGTCAGCTATGAGGACTGAGAAAAGGCCATTGGATCTGGGATCATTGGTAACTTTGAAAAGAGCAGTTTCACAAAATGAAACACCACACACAGCTGTCAGCCTAAATGACGGGGAGCATTTTCCCAGGTGCTTGGCAATTTTTGTAGTGCTGAACTGCCAAGTCTGGACTGCCTCTTGTTAGGGGATGGAGAGTATCGGCTCTTCCTAAGGGTGTGGGAGCTGTGCGTGCGTGTGCGTGCGCGGTGTCTGTGTGTGTCTGCGTGTTCATTCATGCCTTAATTCCGGTTACTGCTCAAACGTACTTCTCAATTTCATCTGCCGTGTTAACAAGTTTGTGTGGTACTTCTCGATCTGAACTTCATCCTGGCCAAACCACCCCCCTCCCAAAAGAAAAAGTGTCACGAACAGCAACTAGAGAACTGATTCCTCAGAATATTATTTAATCAGGTCAGCCCCAAGTCTCCTTTGATACTTATGAAGTCATATAAAAGTGACCTGGAGAAGTGGAAGGAATTCACCAAGGAAAAGAGCGTGTCTTCTCACGGCAACACCTCAGCGCCCGATGTTAGTGACTCACCACGGTTCGGCCCCCCAGCTTGAGGAGATTTGGAGATGCAGTGGCAATCTCGACATTCTTGCTTGGCCAGAGTTTAGAGAGCTGTAAGACTTCCAATTAATGTCTTTTTTTGCTTGTTTGTGTTGATTAATCTTTTCATACATGGGCTGAATCTGAAACCTGAATAAAGATTTTTTTTTAATGGAAAAAAAAAGAAAAGAGCAGTTTCAGCGGGGATAGAAAGATCAAGGGAGGATTTTTTGAGAATGGGGAAAATATGGACATTTTCATAGGCAGTAGGGAAGTAGCTATTAGGGAGTAATTGAAGATAAAAGATATAGTGAAAATGATAGAGACAACAATTTCTTGGGGGAGACAGCATGAAATTGGATCACTTGTGCATTTAGAGGGGTTCACCTTGCCAAGGAGAAGGGCTACCTCTTGGTGCGAGACAAGCGGAGATGGTAGCAGAAAGCATCTGGGTGATGTGAGATGAAGAGAAAGGGAGAAGACCGAGTTATTAGCAAAGAGCCTCCATTTTTTTTTTAAGTAAAATGTGAGGCGAGGTTCTCACCTGAGAGGTATCACCTGAGAGGGTCAGGAAAGGGGAGCCAAGGGAGATTTTATGAAAGATGAAAAGGTTTGGAAGAGCTACTGTAGAAAGTGAGACGGTGAGTTAATTAAGGAAGTGTAGAAGGATTGCCCAGCAGTAGTGAGGGCCCAGTTGAGGTTATGTACATGACATTTGTAGCAGACCCTGTCAGAACAATTTCATGATTTTCTCCACCTCTATTTAGCGGCAAGCGTGTAGGAGTGAAAGCAGTGAATGATGGGAGCCAACCAGGACTGAGGCTTGGAGGGTCATAGTAGGTAATATGATAAGAGGGTCAAAGACTCAAGGGAAGAGGGCAGTGTAGAGTTTATTTGGTTCACCAAGGGATCAAGATGGGGAAAAGAGGAGAGAGAGGCTAGTGCAAGGCTGGTGGCCTGGGAGAGTACTAAGAGGGCAGGGCATTGGAGGTCCTGGTATGAACACAGAGCAGCAAGGTTTGGTAAGGGAAGAGAGATGAAGAGACAGAAAGCCAACAGACTGTGATCTGATAAGAGGTTCTTCCGCCAGAGTGGTGACTATGTGCATGGAGATGAGGGGATGTATATGAGACAGGCAGACACGTTGTGAAGGTAGAAACAAGACAAGATTCGGCATGATATTGGCTATGTGGGGTGAGTACAAGTGCAGATGAGGTCTGGAGCCTGAGTAACTGGAAAGATGATGGTGTCCTCCAGCATTATAGGAAATCTGGAAAAAAGTCGAGGTTTTCGGGGAGAACAAAGAGGAAGTTTGTGACAAATGGTCTCTATTTTTTTGTTAAAATAGGATTCAAGGTTTTCTGCTGAGAGGGAGGGGACAGGGAGTGTTATGAATGGTTTGAGGAGAAAAGAGAATATTAAGAACATGGTCAGTCAGGGAAGAGTAGAAGGGGCAGCAAGGAGGGCCCAATGGATATTAGACAACAAACTTGTGGTAGATTCAGTCATGCAGTTGTGTGACTTCCCACATCTGTCAAGGCTATAGCCAGCCCCTCTCTCACCCAGATTCAAAACATCAGTGTCATCCTCGATACCATACTCCCACTCACATGTCCACATGTCCAATCAGTTGCCAAATTTTTGGCGTTTCTGACTCCCCTCCACAGAGTCTCTCTCATATGCATGCCTCATTTTCACTCATATGGCCACCTTCTAGTTCAGGCCCCGACCACCTAATACCTGTGTCATGGCAGTCACCTACGAATTGGTCTCCCTGCTTCAAGTCTATCCCATCTGGAATCCACCCCTTACATAACTGCCCAAGTGATTTTGCTAAAGTTCAAGTTTGGGGCAACTAGGTGGCATAGTAGATAGAGCACTGGACCTGTAATCAGGAAGACTTCAACTTCCCAAGTTCAAATCCAGCCTCAGATACTTCCTAGTGTGTGACCCTGGGCAAGTGACTTCATCCTGTTTGCCTTTAAAAAAATAAAGTTCAAGTCTGACCATGTCACCAGCAACTCAATAAACTCTAGTAGCTCCCTATTACCTATGTGATCAAATATAACCTCTTCTGATTAGGTTCTAACCTACTGTTCTAATTTTATTACACATTCTTTATTATGTACTCTGTGGCCCAGCCACACTTGCCTTCTTACTGTTTGTCATACCTCACAATACTCCATTTCTTTCCTCTTTGTCTTTGCTCTGACTGTCCCTCATTCCTGGAATACCCTCCTTCTTCACCTCCATTTCCTTGGATCTCAAGTCAGACAATCTGGGTTGGAGTTGCTGCTCTGATATTTATTACCTTTGTGACCTTAGAAAATCTAGTCTTTAGAGTTGGAAAGGACTTTGGAGGTCATCTGGTTCAATCCCTCCATTTTACAGATGAGAAACTGAGACCTTGGCCAATCCCTAATCCCCTCCCCTCATCAATTTCCCTATCTGAAAAATGAAGGGGTTGGACTAGGCAAGCAGAAACTATCGTTATTTACTTTCATTCTGAGCTAATCAGGGCCCACACAGTGACCAAGAAGGGCTTTGTCTGGGACCTGAGTGATTTGGGGTTAAGTCTGGTCTTTAAGAGAATAAAACAAAACAAAACAAAAGTTTCAGAGATTAAAATTTACATTCCAGAGAAGAAAGAAGGAAAGAAAGAAAGAAAGAAAGAAAGAAAGAAAGGAAGAAAGAAAGAAAGAAAGAAAGAAAGAAAGAAAGAAAGAAAGAAAGGAAAGAAAAAAGAAAGAAAGAAAGAAAGAAAGAAAGAAAGAAAGAAAGAAAGAAAGAAAGAAGAAAGAAAGAAAGAAGGAAGGAAGGAAGAAAAAGAAAGAAAGAAAGAAAAAGAAAGAGAGAGAAAGAGAGAAAGAAAGAGAGATTAAGAAAGAAAGAAAGAAAGAAAGAAAGAAAGAAAGAAAGAAAGAAAGAAAGAAAGAAAGAAAGAAAGAAAGAAAGTCATGTTGCTCACCTGGAAGTTTGGTCCATAGTGGGAAGTTCCTTCTCTACTCACAGAGGAAACCCTGAGGGTCTTGCCCTCCCTGATCTATTTTTAAAATTTTTTATTAATTTATTTTGATTTCTCAACAATCATTTCCCTAAGCTTTTGAGTTTTAAATTTTTCTCCTTTCCCTACACCCCTCCCCACCCAAGACAGCTCACCATCTGATATAGGCTATACATATACATTCCTATTAAACATATTTTCACATTAGTCATGTTGTAAGGAAGAATTAGAACCAATAGGAAGAACCACCAGAAAGAAGAAATAAAACAAAACAGAAGAAAAAAGCAAATGGTATGTTTTGATCTGTATTCAAACTCCATAGTTCTTTCTCTGGATGTGGATAGCATTTTCCATCATGAGACCTTTGGAGATGTCTTAGATCCTTGCATTGCCGAGGAAGACTAAGTCTATCAACATTAGTCATCGCACAACATGGCTGTTACTGTGAACAGTGTTCTCCTGGTTCTGCTCACTTCACTCAGCATCAGTCCATACAAGTCTTTCCAGATTTTTCTGAAGTCTTCCTGCTCATCATTTCTTGTAGCACAATAGTATTCCATTACATTCACATACCACAACTTGTTCAGCCATTCCCCAATGGATGGGCATCCCCTCAATTTCCAATTCTTTGCCACCGCAAAAAGAGTTGCTATAAATATTTTTGTACATGTGGGTCCTTTTCCCATTTTTATGATCTCTTCGGGATACAGACCTAGAAGTGCTATTGCTGGGTCAAAGAGTATGCACATTTTTATAGCCCTTTGGGCATAGTTCCATACTGCTCTCCAAAATGGTTGGATCAGTTCACAACTCCACCAACAATGCATTAATGTTCCAATTTTCCCACATCTCCTCCAACATTTATCATTTTCCTGTTTTGTCATGTTGGCCAATCTGATAGGTGTGCTGTGGTACCTGAGTCGTTTTGATTTGCATCTCTCTAACCAATAATGATTTAGAGCATTTTTTCATATGGCTATAGATAGCTTTAATTTCTTCCTCTGAAAACTGCCTGTTCATATCCTTTGACCATTTATCAATTGGGGAATGACTGGTATTCTTATCAATTTGACTTAGCTGTCTATATATTTTAGAAATGAGGTCCTTATCAGAGACACTGGTTGTAAAATGGAATTCTTAGAACTTTTAGGCATCTGCCTACTTTCTTAAATCTCCTTCCTTCTTGAGTCTAGTCCATAGTTCTGCCCAAACCTAACCCAATTCACTTTCTTGTCTGCCTTTGCAGTGCCCAAGATGCTTGCCACTAACTACACCTATGACAAGCCCTGCTCCTGGGTGATCTCAGATGGTACCAAGAACGCCATGGCCAGTAAACGGATCCTCTATTTGGCCAAGCCCAAGGAGCGGAAAGATTGCAACGAGGGCCATGACCCCTACTGTATCTCAGTGGCTGCCTTGAGGGCGGAGCCATCTCCCCGAGTCTATGAGCTTGCCATCCCTAAAAGGGTAGCCACAAAAATCTAAGGGCCTCACGTTCCTCATCGTCACCCTTCTCATACCCCCAAAGGGTGGCAACCCAACCTTCCCTTCTAACTAAACAACTCCAGCATGTCTTCTGTGCAATCTACTTTGAATGAGGAGTAAATGAGGGGAAGGGGTATAATAGGAATAATACCATTAATTATAAGCATTATAATAGTTACTACCATTTATACAGTGGTATTTTTTGTTTTATTGTCATTTTATGCTCATTCTAGGAAATGGAGACAAGAGAGAGATTTTGATCTCTACTTTACAGAGGAGAAAAATGAGTGCCAAAGAAAGATGAAAGTAATTTGCTTGAGGTCTCATCAGAAAATAAGGAGCACCACTGGGATTAGAACCCAGGTCTCCTGACTTCCAGCCCAGGGCTCTTTTCATTAGTGGGTCATATTGGACAATGAGGTGGGGAAGAGAAGCCAGGCTAACTGCTCCCGGGGCTCTGGCGACTTGAGTGTAGTCATTGGCATAAGAGCCAAACATGTGGTTGGGCCTGAGTCAATAGGTGATATACAGCAGCTGGCCTCTTGCTCACAAATGGGTCTCTAGAAAGCCAATCCAGGTTCATTTCATTTTTTTTTTTTTAGTGAGGCAATTGGGGTTAAGTGACTTGCCCAGAGTCACACAGCTAGGAAGTATTATGTGTCTGAGGCCGGATTTGAACTGAGGTCCTCCTGACTCCAGGGCCGGTGCTCTATCCACTGCACCATCTAGCTGCCCCTAGGTTCATTTCATTTGAGTAGGGCTGTTCCCTCCTTCACACAGAAGTGCACTCTGCCACAGATCAGTATTAACAGTGTGGTAGAAGGAGAAACACATGGCCAGGGAACACATATGGAGGGGTACCTACATAAGGCACATAGGTAGGGTAGGGAACAAACATAATGGAGCATGCATGAGCCGATGGCTCCCACCATCGCCCTCTAGTGGCAACATCCTGCTGCTCTCTGCTGGTGCACACACCTTGATGAGTTCCTGCTCAGTTCCTGCGCCTGCTAGGGTCTCGGGTCTGAAGAGCACATATTGAAAATATACAGCTATCTGGAGTCATAGATCCCAGCCAGCCATGTGCTTCTGTGATTAGGCATTTAATTCATCCTTGTGTTTAGAACTCCTCTTATCTTGTTGTTTCTCTCTTATTTGACTCTCTCTGAGGGCTCTTCCCCAAACTGTACACATATGGTTTGAGGGAAGGGGGAAGGGGGAAGGGGGAAGGGGGAAGGTGCTACTTACTCCCCTCGGGATAGAAAGAAACAGGCACCTACTGTACTCCAGGCACTGTGTTAAGCACTTTAAAAAATGATCTCCACCAGAACCCTGGGAAGTAGGTGCTTTTAAGATCTGCATTTTATCACTGAGGAAACTGAGGCAAACAGAGGTTAAGTGACCTGCCCAGGGCCACACAGCTGGTAAGCATCTAAGGCCTGATTTGAACTAAGGTTTTTCTGAACTCAGGCCCAGTGTTCTAACCACTGAGCCACCTAGTTGCCTCAGGGTTCTAGAAGGAAGACTGAAGGCTATTTTTAGCACTTCTACTCAGGAGCCCCAATAATAATAACTTATGTAACATTTAAGGAATATTTCATTTGATCCCTGCAATGCTGCTGGAAGGTGGGTGCTATTATTATCCCCATTTTTCAGATGAGGAAACTGAGGCAGATAGCATATAAACACTTGCCCAAAGTCACACAGCTAGTAAGTACCTCAGGCCAGATTTGAACTCAAGTCTTCCTGACTCGACACCCATCACAGCTCTCTGCTCAGTATCAGGTAGATTTAATTAGCTTTTACAAAGGTTATTTACCAATATATCTATTATTATATATATAATACTATAATCTCTGAGTGGTCTCAAACTGAAAGTCTATAGGTAATGAGACACATGAGTAAAGAACACAGGTAACAAAGGAGTATTGTGGTACCTGGTTACTATAGCTCCCTTGCTCTTAGAGTCCTCATGAACTCCCCATCATGTGTTCATCTCTGCTGGGCTCTGAGAGCTACTGCCCTTGTAGAGATCTTATACAACCCTTCTCTTTGCCCTGAGGAGTCAGACCCCTTAAAGCCCCCTTTCTTCAGTGGATCTAATTTATTCTTGGAATGTCAAGACCCAAAAGAGCCAACTGAAAAATTAACTTAATTGCTTTAGCGAAGTTGAAAGTTATGAAATAAATATGCATAAATCAGCAGCCTTTATATTGGCCAACCAAACCCGACAGGAAGAGAGAGAAAAATTCCATTCAAAATAATTAGAGGATGTATATATTTGAGAGACTATCTTCTAAGAGACGTAGGAACTACGTGAATACATTGATGAAACTACTAAAAATAGACAAGTAACTAGAGAAATATTAGCTGATGATGGACAGGCCAAGTCAATATATTAAAAAAAAAAGTGAGGCTCAAATAGAGGCAGCTTAATAAAAGCTTATTTCCTTCCTTCTTTCCTAATACGTCCTAAATTATTTGATTAATTCAGTGTCATACCAATCAAACTACCCAACTTCCAAAGGATTATTTTCTAATACTAGAAAAAAAGGATTAGGAAATCTATCTGCAAGATCAAAAGGTAAAAAATCTCAAGGGAAATCATGATAAAAGGTGAGAATAAAGGAGACCTAGCAATGCCAGATCTCAAACTATACTACAAAGCAGTAATCATCTAAACAATTTGGTACAGGTCAATCAGTGGAATAAATTAGGTGCATAACATACTGAAGCAAACACAGTATCATAGTGGTTGATGTACCCAAAGACCCCAGCTCACTACTCACTACTTGGCAAGAACTTTTATGAGAGCTAAAAAGAAGACTGGTAGACATATCCCACCACATAATATAATCTCCAAATGGATAATGATTTAGATTAAGAAAGGTCACATCATAAATAAATTTGAAGAGAAATGAAAAAAATACCCTTCACAACTACGGATAAGGGAAGAGTTCATGACCAAAGGATAGAGAGGACAACAAGATAAAAATGGACAATTTTGATCCCATAAAATTAGGAAATTTTTACACAAAACCAACACAGTTAAAATAAGAAGGGAAAAAGTTAACTGGGGAAAAAAATTCATGTGGTGAGTTGCTCTGATAAAGGTCCCATATCAAAGATATATAAAGAACTGATTCAAATTTATGAGAACAAAGCCACCACCCAATACATAAGCGGTGACAGGATACAAAGGGCAGTTTTCAAAGGAAGAAACACAAACTGTCAACCACATGGGGAAAAAGTCCCAAATCACTAATAACTAGGGAACTGAAAATTAAGCAAGTGTGAGTTTCCATGTTATACCCATCATATTGGCAAAGATGACCCAAAAAAAAGGAAAATGATTATGGTTAGAGGCTGTGGGAAAACATGCACACTAATGTATTGTTGGAGGAACTGTGAATTGGTCCAGCCATTCTGGAAAGCAATTTGGAACTATGCCCCAAAAGTCATTAAATTGTCCATACCCTTTGACCCAGCAATACCACTAAGGCCTATGTCCCTAGAGAGATCCAAGAAAGAAGGAAAGGACTCATATGTATACATATATGTAAATATACACAAATAGTTTAACACTACACAAAAGTATGTATATGTATACATATACATATATAGACAGATATACATGTCAGCCTTTTTGTAGTGGCAAAAAAAACCCCTGTAAATTAAGGAGGTGCATATCATTTGAGGAATGACTGAAGAAATTATAGCATATAAATGTAATGGAATAGTATTGTTTAGTTTAAACATGATGAAAGAGATAGTTTCAGAGAAACCTGGGAAGAGTTATATGAACTGATGCAGAAATGAATAGAACCAAGAGAACATTTATTTGATTACAACATTGTAAAGACAAACAATTTTGAAAGACTTGAGAACTTTAATCAATGAAATGACTAACCATGATTCCATATGACTGAAGATGGAGCAGAGGGCACCCCGGGGTCACCATAGTGCACAGAGTTTTGGACCTTGAGTCAGGAAGACCTGAATTCAAATTCAGCTTCCAACACTTGTGTCCCTGGGCAAGTCATTTACCTCTGTTTGTCTCAGTTCTCTCATCTGTAAAAGGGAATAATAGCACTTACCTCCTAAGGTGGTTGTAAATCTTATGAATGAAAAACCCAAGAGATAGAATTTCTGGGTAATTAATAATCAACTTATTAATTAGGCTAGCTAATAGTCAACAAATTGATGGTCAGTGGTTTCTCTTAGTAACCAAAGACAGATAATGGAGACACTGAATGCCTTAAATACCTTTGTAAAAGAGAATGCTCCTGGCAAGTGAAAATCAATCCTGATTGGTGGACATTTAATGAGGAGGTGGGCTAGAAGTCTTCAGCTCCTCCTGCTGAGAACATGGATTGATCATGAGACTCAGCCACCACCAGCAATCTGGACAGGGGGATCCATTTCCATACAAATCACTCAGCTTGGTTTTCCTTCCTGAGCTGAGTCACCCTAAACTCTAATGGAAGGGTACAAGGACAGGGGCTCATTTCTTTCAGGGTAAGAACTCGCCTAGACTGGAATCTGTTTACACTCTAAACAAAAACAAGGTCTCCTAGTTGGGTAGGGTTCTGCCCAAGACTGAAGAGCACATTCCCCCAAGGGCCAAGGCAATTTCATTAATCAGTCATGTCTTTAAGAGACTGACTGACCTTCAACAGGGGCTGGGCCCTAAATGAAGAAATAAAGGAGAAAAGCCTGGATCCCAAATTAATCATTGGTTATTAACATAACAGAAAAATAATTTCTCTCATAAAGATCAAATGAGATAGTATTTATAAAGTGCTTAGCACAGTGCCTGACACACTGTAAGCATAATATAAATGTTAGCTATTATTATTATTACCCACTTCTTGACAGAGAAGTGATAGACTCAGGAAACAGAATAGGGAATTTTATTTTTCCTGACTAGGCATATTTATTAAGTTTTGTTGTTTTAATTTGGAGAAAAGGAAGGGGTAGGTGAAGGGATAGGCTAGCAGGAAAAAAAAGAGAGAGAAGGAGAGGATGAGATGCAGAGAAAGAAAGAAAGAGGTTATGAATTCATTGTTTACTCTTTTCTCTGTTACCAAGGGTCATGCTCCTTCAAACTCCCTTGAGTCACGGCCTTTCTGTGTCTGGAAGGCATAAGAAAAGTTAAGTTGTAAAATTTCTGTGG